TGTGTGTGTGTGTGTGTGTGTGTGTGTGTGTGTGTGTGTGTGTGTGTCAGGGTGGAGAGAGGGTATCTTTGTGCAGTGAGCAACCTGAACAACCCTACATGGCAACCCCAGATTCAGAATCACTTATTGATCACCTTCCAGGGGCCAACCCTATGAGCACTCCTAGTACAAGTCAGGTACTGAATGAATGTTTTTTGGGTGAATGAGTAAAGGTCCTTGGAGGTCAGCTGTAGGAGTGGCCTGAAGCCTTCTAAGCTTGGGAACCCTTGTTCTTTTCCCCTCCAGAATCATAGCCTTTAGAGCAGGAGGAGGCCATTGATATGACCTAACTAGACGTCCTGATTTCACAATGGCTGAGGCACACAGCTGCTCTGGGCTCTCTGCTGCCCCAGCTGTCTCCTGTGAATGTCCCAACCCCAGCCTTGCTCCCAGCTTCCTGGGGCTCCTGGGCTGTGATACCCAACCTTCCCTGACCATCGTGCCACCTCGGTTCTGCAGCTCTTCATAGGGTTTGGCTTCCCCTACGAGGGCCCTGCCCCGCTGGAGGCCATCGCCAATGGCTGTGTCTTCCTGCAGTCCCGCTTCAGCCCGCCCCACAGCTCGCTCAACCATGAGTTCTTCCGGGGCAAACCCACCTCCAGAGAGGTGAGTGGGAAGGGCCTGGTCCCACATCGGGAGGGTCCAAGATGGGACCCCTGCAGTTCCTGGAAGGGGGAGACTGAGACATGGGGTGAAGGGAGAGATGGGACAGATGGGTGGGGGGCTTTTGCTCTTCACGCAGCCCAGCTTGGCAGGCAGAGGGAGAAGCCTCCCGTCTCTGTGCCCTGGCTAGGTGTTCTCCCAGCATCCCTACGCAGAGAGCTTCATTGGCAAGCCCCACGTGTGGACTGTCGACTACAACAACTCAGAGGAGCTCGAAGCAGCCATCAAGACCATCGTGAGAACCCAGGTGAGGCTCGGATCCAGTCGGGCCCACCGATATCCTAAACTTTGCGTCTTTGCTATAATTAGAAAAAGATGCTCCTCTTGGTGAACTCAGACTTGCAGGCCTGGGTTGGCAGCTTGGATGCGTGTGTGTTTGTTGAGGGAGTGGGGGGAACACCTGCCTCTGTGCTGGGAGCCACCTGCACAACTGTACAGGGCAGCCCTGCATCCAGAATCATTTATCGCGTGTCTCTGGGGGCCGCGTCCTGTGAGCACTCCTGGCACAGGTTAAGTGCTGAGGAAATGTTTTCGGGATGAAAGCGTGAAGGTTCTTTGAACTCTGCTGTCTCTGTGGTCTTTCAGCAGCACATCTCAGACTAATGTGCATACAGATCGCCTGGGGGTCTTGTTAAAGCACAGGTTTGGAGTCAGCAGGTTGGGTGGGGCTGAAGCCCTGCATTTCAAACCAGGTCTGGGTGGTGCCGCCTTTGCATAGCAAGTGGGTAGAGCGTTCTGCGTTTCCTCCAGCAAGTAAGTGTTGGTGGGTGTGGGCGGAGGGCGAGGAGGGGCTCGTGCAGCTCCTCTCCCCGGTGGGCACCTCTGTGGCTTCTGATGGCTCCCTGTGCGTGTGCACTCTCGCGGTCCCTTCATTTTGAGAAGCGGGCAGACTGTGTGAGCACGTGGGGGAGGGGCAGCCCTGCTCTCCGTGATCCCTCTGGACCCATTTCTTGCTGTAGCTCGGACACCAGGCTGAGCAAAAAACCCCACTCCTGTCAGGTCCCCTTCTCTGCCCATCACCAAGGTCACCGAGCGTGCCCTCCCTGGCGGGGGGCTGGGGGTGGTTGTGCTGCTCTGGGCGGACCTGTGGCAGAATCAGAGAGCATTAGGCTGCTGGGGCAGGGACCACCACAAGGGAGAGTCCTGCCCGGGAGGACACACGGCTGTCTGGGGAGCTGGGGACACTGCCGGGCTTGGGGCAGAGGCCAGCGCGCATCGATGCCCCATACGGTCTTAAGGGCTTAACTTTGGGTCCAGAGCCCTGCTTGGTTGTCCTGACCGTGAGGCAGGGCTGCGTATTTTTTTAAATTTTCTTTTGGCCGTGCCATGCAACTTGCAGGATCTTAGTTTCCTGATCAGGGATTGAATCCAGGCCCTGGCAGTGAAAGTGCCAAGTCCTAACCACTGGACCGCCAGGTTTTTTTTGCGGTACGCGGGCCTCTCACTGTTGTGGCCTCTCCCGCTGCGGAGCACAGGCTCCGGACGCGCAGGCTCAGCGGCCATGGCTCACGGGCCCAGCCGCTCCGCGGCATGTGGGATCTTCCCGGACCGGGGCACGAACCCGCGTCCCCTGCATCGGCAAGCAGACTCTCAACCACTGCGCCACCAGGGAAGCCCTTTTTTTAAAAATTTTATTTATTTATTTGGTTGCACCAGGTCTTAGTTGCGGCAGGCGGGGTCCTTAGTTGAGGCTCGCCGACTCCTTAGTTGTGGCATGCGAACTCTTAGTTGAGGCATGTGGGACCTAGTTCCCTGACCAGGGACTGAGCCCGGGCCCCCTGCACTGGGAGCTCAGAGTCTTAACCACTGCGCCACCAGGGAAGTCCCTGCATTGTTTTTTCTTTTTAACACCCTCCTGCATCCCGTGGATCAGTCCCTCCCATTCGGCACTCTCGGTCTTAGCCCACCCTCTCAGCAAATGACCCCAGAAAATCCATGCCCACCCTGCCCACCCCCTTCTTCTACCCACCCCACTCTCGTCCTTCCCTCCTGTCTGGGTGTGAGTGTTTCTCTAGTGAAAGTACCAAGGAAACTGCTGTGTCACAGCCTAGGTGCATCTCTGGTCGTGGCAGATGTGGCCAGGTTGACCCGCAAAGTGGCTGAACCCCTGGACCTCCACCAGTGGTGCAGGGAGAGCCCTCCGCCCCCTCTTAAGCAACCGCTTAAACAAATCCTCCTCTGCTGGAAGTTCCTCCAGGTCCTGGACTGAGGTTGGGCTCTTCCCGGAGCTGACCCCAGGCAACGATTTGAGCACAAGTAGTTTATCTGGGGGGTGATTCCAGGAAGGAAGGTCCTGGAGTGCCGGTGAGTCAGGGTGTGTCATCAAGAAGGTTACCCCTGCCTCCAGCCACCTGGTGCTCAGTGCCGGCGGGGACCTCCGAGAGGTGGGGTACTCGCATCCCGGATTGTCCTGAGAAATGAGGAAACCGGGGTGTTTTTCCCACAGCTGCATCCACTGCTGGCTGAGACTGAACCGGGAGGGCAGGTGTCAGCTCTCAACACTGGACTGAGCAAGCTAGAGAAAGCCGCCCACCCCCCGACAGGCGGTGGGGGAGGGCGCTGTGAGAACCTGCCCTGCAGGGGACCCCCGTCCTGCACTCTGTCCGTGCTCCCTCTCTGCACCCCTTGCAAAAGCAACCCTCTGGGACTTCCACCCTACGGGAGCAGGGGCGGGGTGGGAAGGGGACCAGGAAGGCTTTTGTCCACCCCCAGGCCTCAGGTCGGGCTCCACCTTCAAGGTCCCTGGTGACTGAGTGAGCGAGATCCCAGCCCTGTGGAGAGCCATGTTCCCAGCCGCAGACCTAAACGGGGGTGTATGTTGGGGGGCGTCTATGCGTGTGAGCATGCTCATCTATTCACGCGTTATTTCTGGCTGGACACACAAGAAATTGATAACAGTGCCTGCCCTGGGGAAGGGGCTGGGCATCTGGGGTCAGAGGAGAACTTGCTTTGCCTTGTTTTCTCTTGATTTTTTAAAACATGAACATCTGTTTAATTGTTAGTTAATTAAAAATCAGGGCTTCCCTGGTGGCGCAGTGGTTGGGAGTCCGGCTGCCAGTGCAGGGGATGCGGGTTCGTGCTGCGGAGCGGCTGCGCCCGTGAGCCATGGCCGCTGAGCCTGCGCGTCCGGAGCCTGTGCTCCGCAGTGGGAGGGGCCACGACAGTGAGAGGCCCGCTTACCGCAAAAAAAAAAAAAAAAAAAATCAATAACAAAAGGGTCCAGGAACCAAGGTACTGCAAATTCGTCAGGCTGACTTGCAGCTGGACCCCAAACCAGCCCGTGGCCCCCCTGCCTTTAGCCATCCCACCCCCACCCTGACTCTTGGGCAGTTAATCCTTTACCCAAGAATTGCCTGAGAGGTGTTTAAAATGCAGATTACTGGGCCTATCCCCAGCTTCTGATTTAAAAGGACCGGTGCAGCCTTGGAGTTTGCGGGTTTTTTAAATTTTTTATTGAAATCTTGCTGGTTTGCTCCCGCCCCCTTCCCCCCCCATCATCACAGGCCAGCAATCCCGGCAGGACCAGCACCTGCCGTTCTGTCCAGACGGATCACCGTCCACACCTGTAATTAGACCTAATGGGGGTAATTTCCAGGCAGGCTGGCTCCTCCGGTGGGAGATTCACGGCAGGCGGGACGTGGCTGCTGCGAATGGTCCCCTCCCTCGCACGGGTGGAGGGGGGCTTAGAATCACCACGTGATGGGCTTCAAACCACCCCCGGGGATGAGTCGGTGGCTGCTGCTAGGAGCAGGCAGGGTGATGTTTGGAGGGGAAATCTCTTCTCTGGTGGGTTTATTTATAACCAGGACTTGAAGTCTTGGATCCGAGGCGACTGGGGATCCCCTGGGGCAGCAGCTGGCGGCCGGGGCCTCCGTGGCCATCAGCTGGGGTTGGGATTGGCTGTGTGGAGCTCAGGGCTGGCAAGGCTGTGCTGGTTGATGGGCTGTGAAGTGGTGGCTGGATGTGGACCTGGGGATTCTCTGGGATCCCGGATCTGCCCCAGGATTAAGGACACCGACTCACAGGGCAGGTGAAGTCAGAACCGCGGCGCCGTCAGAGGGGTGGGGCCTGGTCCCGAGAATCAGTCCTGGTGGTACCTGCTGCTTCCCTGAGACCCTCCTCAGCTTGAAGTCGGGGATGTCCCCTGGGCCAGAGGGCCCATGATGGGCCTCCAGCCCTTCGAGGTGGGGTCTACAGGAGGCAGGACCCAGCGCAGCCTGATTGGGTTCTGACACACCCATCTCTGATGCGGAGAAAGGACTTGGGCAGACCAGCAACATTTCACTACCTGGGCTGAAACTGCCTGATTTCTGGAGCTGCTGGCAGGGAAACGGCATCATCAGGAGGCGGCTGGGCTGGGTATGGTGCCAACACACATGGTGGGGAGTGGGGGGTGGGGCCAAAGGCTAAAAGAGACCTTCCTCTGAGTCTGAGACGAACATCTCCCAGGTCACCGCGATCTCGCCTCCCGCCCACCTGGCCGACAGTCTCCTCCAAGGAGGCTGTGTGTGCTGGGCCACCGAGGGTTGCTGTAAACGGGGAGGGGGTGACCAGGTAAGAAGACTGGAGAGGAGGTGGGGGTACCCGCGCTGGGGAGGCGGCCTCATCACCCCTTCCGTTCCCCTTGCTCCTTGCGCCCCAGCTACCAAATCCACCTGGTCCCATCGGCCCCAGCGTGCGCTGTTCTGTAACTCTGATATTTAGACTGGCGGTATGTGGCCTCCCTTTGGGGGCACCTAGTTCGTTTAGCTCCCGGGTGCCTGGTCTGGGCAGGAAGGTTTACAAATGTCATCTCATTCCATCAGGCTGGGAGATGCCCTGTGTTGCTTTGCGTGAAACTTCCACATGTTGGGCAGAACACAGGCAGAGCTGGGGATGCTTTTTCATTCCATGACTAGTTCCTCAGGGACTCCTGTGTACCAGGCATCGTGCCAGGCACCAGGGATTCAATGGTGAACAGGTTGTGGTCCCACAGCCCATGGGGCTCATGACCTGAGGGAGACAAGGGATAAATCAGAGATGATGACACAGGCACTGATTCTCTACTGGGAAAGTCTGGAGTGTGTGCAAAGGAAAGTGGTCCTTTAACAGGAGGGGGGGAGTGGAGCTCTGGGTCTGCTTCCTGGAGGAGGTGACGTCTAAGAGGGTCCGGTGGTTGGCTGGGGAAGAGCAGGCATCACGGCCGAGGAGGGGATGGAATGCTGAGCTTTAGCGAAAGAGGAGAAGCTCAGCGGAAGTGGGAGGGGGTCAGGGAGGGATGAGCTGTCGTGAGGCCCCCGAGGGCCACTGAAGGCTGCACCGGGGAGCGAGGCATCTGCATGGATAGGGTGGTCGGCTCCCTGGGTGCAGGCCGTGAGAGCCCCCAGATCTGGCTGCTCCCAGGGCCGAGCAGCCAGGTCTGGGGAGGCCCAGGGCTTCTCCTGCCCCACGTGTCTGCCTGTCTCTCGCACAGGTGGACCCCTATCTGCCCTACGAGTACACGTGTGAGGGGATGCTGGAGCGGGTCCATGCCTACATCCAGCACCAGGTAGGTGGGTCCCCCACTCTCTGTCTCCAGGGGCCGAGCTGGCTCCAGTGTCTGAGGCCCCACCTCTGCCCAGGGTGCAGCATGCTTTAACCTCCAGGTCCTTCTCCAATCTGTTTCCTTCCGCGCGGGGGGGTTGGAGATGGGCGGGGCCGAGCAGTACTGCTCAGAGACCAGGCCTGGGGCACCCCTGCCCTGGGCCCCCAGCTCGAGTCTCAACCCCCATATCACAGCACAGAAATGCAAAGACTCATTTTTCATTTTTATTACACAGTTGTTTAGAAGTTGAGTGAGTGAGTGGGGAGTAGGGAAGACCCTCCGCCTGCACCCCTACCCACAGGATGAGCTGGGAGTGAGGTATTCCATTTTCCTTCTTGACAATGCTTTTCTCTGGGCAGGACTTCTGTGCGGTCCCAGGCCCTGCCCCCGCAGGGGTCCGAGCCCCGGAGAGCCCCTTCATCCTGGCCCCCAACGCCACTCACCTCAAGTGGGCCCGCAACGCCAGCTTGGCCCCCGGGGCCTGGCCCCCAGCGCACTCCCTCCGGGCCTGGCTGGCCGCCGCTGGGAGGGCCTGCACGGACGCCTGCCTGGACCACGGGCTGATCTGCGAGCCCTCCTTCTTCCCCTTCCTCAACAGCCAGGACGCCTTCCAGACGTGAGTGAGCCCCGGCCCGACCCGGCCCAGCCGACCTCACCTGTAGCTCCTTTGCTCCCGTGGCCGCCTTGCCCCCGGCCCTGCCAGCAGTGGGGGCATGCGGTGCTTTCCAGTGAGTCAGGAAGGATCCAGAAGGGACCTTCCGGGCAGGTATCCACAGCACAGCTGCCCACTCTTGGCAAAGCCTCTGCCCCAAACCACCAGGGGAAGCTCCCTGCTCAGTCCCTGACCTCCTCATCCCTCCCTCAGCCCCTGCCCAGCCTGTCTGGGCACCTTCTAGGTCCAGGCCACAGAAGCTGCCCCAGGTTCCCCCTGATGGGTGAGCCTGGGCCCCCCACCCTCCTGCCCACTCTCCTCTCTCACAGCAGGGGCGAGAAGGAGCTGCAGCCCAGCGTTTGTCCTGGCGCCTCCTAGAGACATCTCCCTGGGTCTGGAATGGGATGGGCCAGGGAGAGGGAGCGGGCAGTGCCAGGCTGGGGCAGCCCCCGCCCCGCACGCTGAGTGACCACCTCTGTTGGTGCCCACCCAGGCTGCAGGTGCCCTGTGATGGCACTGAGTCGGAGATGAACCACCTGTACCCGGCCTTTGCCCAGCCGGGCCAGGAGTGCTTCCTGCAGAAGGAGCCTCTGCTCTTCAGCTGCGCCGGCTCCAGCAGCAAGTACCGCCGGCTCTGCCCCTGCCGAGACTTCCGCAAGGGCCAGGTGGCCTTGTGCCAGGACTGTCTGTGAGGGCGCCCACCCGGCTGGCCCTCCCCGCCGCAGGAGAAAGCACCAGCAGATTCTGAGCTCCAGCGACCCGCCCTACCCACGCCCCCCCCACTCCCCCAGGCTGGAGCCTCCTTTCTTGGCCGGGACGTGGGCCCAGCCGATAGGTGCGCAGGTCTGGGGAGGGAGGCAAGTCTGCCGAGTGCCTGGTGCCCGCCCTAGGCAGGCTCCTTGCTCTCACCCCAAGGGCTCGTGGCAGCGTTGTGGCCAAGCAGCTGGGGGTTGGTCAGAGGGTCCCACTGGCCCAGGAGCAGATGGTCGGAGGCCCCTTGCTTTGTGCAAGACCAGATCTGGACCAGGTGGAGTGAGGGCCTTTGTCCTTCTTGGGCCCAAGGATGGGGCCTCTGGGCATACGATAGAGGAAGCAGGGTGATGCTTGCCCAGTGGCCCACTGGAGGGTCCACAGAGTGGGGAGTGATGTGTGAGGGGTCAGCCTTGTCCCTGTGGAGTTGTTTGGGGTGTGGACAGAAAGGGCCAGGCTGGGGGACCCTGTTCATGCCTCCTCAGCCCCCCCACCCCTCCTGTTTTCCCAGATTCCCCTCCTTTCCACACTTGGGCACCACAGTTAGGGTTGCAGGGACCACTTAGACCCTGGGTTGAATTGTTTCCCTCTTGCTTATTCCAACTTTCTTCACTTTGGGCATTTCCTGAAACCTATCCCAGCATGACTGCGATTCCAGACCGTGGATTTGTTTCCAAAGCCTCAGTCCCCACCCCAGCCTCTGAGAACAGGCTCTAGAATCTACCCTGCCCCCACCTCCTAAGCATCTTTTGTAGGCTTGGGATGAAGCTTCAGCCCCATGGCACACGTGGCCCAGTTCCTGGATGCCCAGGCCTGCTACCCCCACGTAGCCACCCCTGCCCCATCAATGCTGTGTCCGTGTCCCTAACCTCCAGCTTCCTCCAGCCTCCAACCGCCTCTGGATCCAGCCGTCCATCCGTGTGGCATGCCTTCCCCTTCACCTGAGGAAACAGATCGGGCCGTCAGAAACACTGCCACCCCAACCCCGTTTTTAATCCCACTCCCTTCCAGGCAACCCGCCCCACCCACCTAGGCCTGCCCCTCCTCCCTTCCAGGGAGGCAGCCGCAGGGCCCTGCGTCCAGAGGGCGGGGCCTGAAGGTGGATACCTCCCATCAGAGAGCCCTCTCGGCCTGGGCAGCTCCTGTGGTCACAGAAACTCAACAGTCACCAAGGACCTGACCTGTCGGGGGAAAGCAATAGAGATACTCTTTTCTCTCTCTTTTTTTTTTTTTAAAGATTTCTTGAAATAATAAATATTTTATTGGGATGTGAGGTGCAGAGGAGGAGCTGTGCTATTTCTCATCTTTTCCTGGGATGCCCAGGCCTGGAGGAGTGAGGCGGTGTGAACACCCTGGGTGCAGGGGGGGGGGGTGAATATCTGGGGCCCCCGGGCCCCTCCTCCACATTGTCACTCCATCTACAAAGTTGGCGCTGTGTCAGGCTGCCTAAAGGAAGTCCCTGCGCGCGCCAGAAGTCCACGGCCCCTCCCACCACTCCAGCACTGTGACTCCAGGGGCCCCGCTTGACCAGCAGGGCTGGATCCAGTTCTGTTCACCTGGGGCTGGCCTCTGCTGGCTGTGGTTGCTGTAAGGTCAGAGAACATAAATGCATTTTGATGAGAGCCTGAGCCAGGTCGTGATAAGAAGACTAACTAGGGAAGGGAGATCAAGATGGCAGAGTAGGGACTTCCCTGGTGGTGCAGTGGTTAAGAATCCGCCTGCCAATGCAGGGGACACGGGTTTGAGCCCTGGTCTGGGAAGATCCCACATGCCCGCGGAGCAACTAAGCCCGTGCGCCACAGCTACTGAGCTTGTGCTCTAAAGCCCGTGAGCCACGACTACTGAGCCCGCGCACCTAGAGCCCATGCTCTGCAACAAGGGAAGTCACCGCAATGAGAAGCCCGCGCACCGCAACGAAGAGTAGCCCCCGCTTGCCACAACTAGAGAAAGCCCACGCGCAGCAACGAAGACCCAATGCAGCCAAAAATTTAAAAAAAAAAAAAAAGATGGAGTAGAAGGACACAGAGCTCACCTCCCCCCACAAACATCAAAAATACATCTATAGGGCTTCCCTGGTGGCGCAGTGGTTGAGAGTCCGCCTGCAGGTGCAGGGGACGCGGGTTCGTGCCCCGGCCCGGGAAGATCCCACATGCTGCGGAGCGGCTGGGCCCGTGAGCCACGGCCGCTGAGCCTGCGCATCCGGAGCCTGTGCTACGGAAGAAGCCACAACAGTGAGAGGCCCGCGTACTGCAACAACAACAACAAAAAATACATCTATAGGGTTTCCCTGGTGGCGCAGTGGCTGAGAATCTGCCTGCCAATGCAGGGGACACGGGTTCGAGCCCTGGTCTGGGAAGATCCCACATGCCGCTGAGCAACTAGGCCCGTGAGCCACAACTACTGAGCCTGCGCGTCTGGAGCCTGTGCTCTGCAACAAGAGAGGCCATGACAGTGAGAGGCCCGCGCACCGTGATGAAGAGTGGCCCCCTCTCGCTGCAACTAGAGAAAGCCCTCGCACAGAAACGAAGACCCAACACAGCCAAAAATAAATAAATTAAAAAAAAATACATCTATAGGTGGAAGAGTTCTCCCAGAAAGCCAACTGAAAGCTGGCAGAAGATCTTTCACAACCAAAGCTGTAAGAAAGATCTCTTTGTAACCAGGTAGGACAGAAGAAAAAAAACAAAGCAGGATGGAAACTGGGCCCCTGGGAGGGAGCTCTGAAAGAGGAAAGGTTCCCTCATTTTGGGAGCCTTCTTTACCATTTGGGAGCCCCGCTGGGGCAGACAGGGAGCTGGAGTGGCCTGGACTTTGCTCGGGAGGTGTGTGTGGGTGCTGACTTGCTGCCAGGCAGGGTAGAGAGAGACCAGCACCGACAACGGCCATGTCTCCACACTTCTCAGCCCAAAACATGCTACTGCTAGTATGCACAGTGGCTGGGGCTTCAGCAGACAGACCCAGGGAGAAGACTTGATTTACCTGTGTGGAAACAGCCCAAAGGGCCTGGAGTATGGTCTGGGCACCATTGTTAACACGTGCAAGACGGGGCGCGCGTCTGCCATATAAGACCCCTGCTGTCAGCATGCTCAGGTGGGGCGTGGCTACAGTGGCCATGGGCTCTGTGAGTGCATACACTGCGGGGACAGGGCTGACATCTGAGCCTATTATCAGCACTCCCTCAGCAGGGGCAGGTCCAGCAGCAGCTGACTTTGTTGGTAGACACACTGAGTGTCAGGCAGCATCACAGAATTGCATGTCCCCAGTGGGCAACCCCTGGGGAGGAATACCCAAGGGTTCTTTTCCAAGCGGAAGTGCTCCAGTCCCACCTACCTCACACTGCAGCTTAGAGCCAGATCTGGGAGCTTCTACTCCAACAGCTGGGGAGCAGACCCTGCCCCCAACATAGCTGTGACAACCACAGAGCAAAGAGGAGGACCCACCCAACATCCAGTGCAGGCTCTGGTCACCACAACACCAAACACGCCCCCTATCAAAGGGACAAGAGCCAGCACACCCTGAGGAAAGATGTGGCAGACATCCATACCCAAAACAGCCCTCACACCAAAAATATTGGACTCACACAGTCTATACCGGGTCACTCCCACGTAAAAGCAGCCCTTTGAGACCACAGTAGAAAACTCTTTCTCCTAAATTCAGAGACAGAGAATTTAAGTAAAATGAAAAAGCGGAAGAACTACTCCCAATTAAAAGAACAAGAGAAATCCCCTGAAAAAACAACGAAACAGACCTCTTCAGTTGACCAGACCCCAAATTCCAAAAGGAGGTAATAAAAATGTTAAAGGAATGAAGAAAGATTGATAGAAATATAGATCACTGTAACAAGGGACTAGAAACTATAAAGAGGAACCAGTCAAAATTAGACAACTCAATTGCCAAGATAAAAACTGAGCTAAAGGCAATGAATAGCAGACTAAATAATGCAGAAGAACAAATAAGTGATCTGGAAGATAGAATAATGGAAATCACCCAATCAGAACAGCAGATGGAAAGACAAATTAAAAAAAAAATGAAGGCGATATACGAGATCTATGGAATAATATAAAATGTGCAAACCTACACATAATAGGGGTTCCAGAAGGAGAAGAAAAGGGGATTTAAAATGTATTTGAAGAACTTATGGCTGAAAACTTCCCAAACCCAGAGAAAGAAACAGTTATCCAGGTACAGGAAGCACAGAGGGTCCCAAACAGATGAACCCAAACAGACCCACACCAAGACATGTCATAATTCAAATGGTAAACGTTAAAGATAGGATTCTAAAGGCAGCAAGAGAAAAAGTGTCAGTTACAAATGAACCCTCATAAGGCTATCAGCTGATTTCTCTACAGAAACTTTGCAGGCCAGCAGGGATAATATATTCAAAGTACTGGAAAGGAAAAATCTGCAACCTAGGATACTCTACCCAGCAAGGTTATCATTTAGAATAGAAGGAGACACTAAGAATTTCTCAGACAAGCAAAAACTAAAAGCATACAGCAATACTAAACCTAAAAGAAATATTGAAAGACCTTCTCTAAATAGAAAAGAAGAATCAATAGGAAAGGGAAAAACACAATAGGAAAGGCAAATATATCAAAGGACTGAAGATCACTTAAATAAGCCAGTACATAGATTAAAAAATAATCAAAATATTTTTGTAAAAGTGATTATAATTAATAGCAAAGGATAAACATGTGGATGTAAAATAGGACATCAAAATTACCAAATGTGGGGGAGAGAAGTAAAAAAATGTAGATCTTGTAGAATGTATTTGAACTAATACGACTATAAGTCTACAGCAAGCATATATAGTTATGGGTTAACATACTTGAAAACCATGGTAACCACAGACCAAAATCATACAATAGAATCACAAAAAACCAAAAAGAAAGGAACTCAAGCACAATACAAAAGAAAACCATCAGAACACTAAAGGAGAAACAAAAGAAGAAAAGAACAAAGAAGAACTGCAAAGTCAAATGGAAAACCAGGTTT